TACGTCAACGATATCTGCATATGAGTGTTCATGTTATGTTCATGGAGTTTTGAAATAATGTTATGTATGAAACTGAATACATCTCGCTTCGAGTTATCTCCATGCTTGTAAAAAGTAAAAATATTGGAAAGTATGTGATTGGTGTGAGAATTTAGCTGAAGCAAGTTCATTAACACTCTTTGCAAGAGGCCCAATACCAACATCTCTTAATCATAAAAAGAATTTTCGAGCAAAAGGTTTTGAAGTTGAGAAAAATTCTTAAAGGAGCAAGACGAATTTTTTCTAATTAACAAGCCTCTGCACTAACACTGGTAAACTCTGAAAATAAGCTTAGAGTGTAAAGGTGCTACGCTAAGAGATTGTCCGCATTCAAAGATATTATTACAATGTGACGGAGTTGGGATTTTCTTTTGCGGTAGGCTCATATTTTTCTCACAATCAGTCTTTGTTCATTTTCAGTTATTGATTTCAGGTTTGCTTATCAACAATAGAATGATGAGCTACAAAGTGCCAGCCTGGTCAAAACTTTTTCGTACCTGAAAGTAATTCAGAGGAAAGAGGTAGAAATAACAGTCAAAGGAAAAGTTGAGAGTAAGCGTTTATTGGAACATATATGACTATGCGCACTAGTTTATCATTTGAGCAGGAGCCCGCAGAAAGTGACTAGTATGTGTGATTCAGTACGATAAATTCCCACTGGCTAAATTAATTGGGATTAGTTATTCCATATTGTTGTTTTTAGCATTGCCAAATGTCTAGAAAGTTACCTGAAGGTTATTGGCCATACATGCAAGCATTTTCTCCCAGCCTGTCTCGCAAGCAAATGTGATGAGAAATTCGCCATACATCTCCCACATGTCATCTATCGACAAACCTATAAAATCATTTTCGTGAGAAGCCAACTGACCACCCAGCATATCTATTACCGAGCACTTCAAGAAGAACATTATGCTAAAAAGGATAAACCAGTTATTTTCGGAGCCATTAGCGATGCGTTCATAATTTTGAGAAATGACTCGATTTTCAGCTAACAAGTAATTCTCCAACTCCGCATTATGGTTTACAGTGAATGCTTGAGCCAAATCGAAATTGCGTCCGATAATATAAAGGAAGATCAAAACAATCTTAGGTCATGACTTACCTAAAACTCCTGCAGCTGCGCGAAATATTCTCATTGTCTCAGTGTCGTCATAATACGTTTGTACCTCGAATTCGTTTCCTTCGGAAAAGCCGGCTTTTCGCCTGAAACATCACCATAGGAAAACAACCTTCCAAATGACCCCAAAAAATCTCACAAAATTTGTTGCCACACATCCATGCCATATCTTCGAATGATTAAAGTGCTAACGCACACATGTGTCCATCCAATCTGAAGGAAACACTTATCATGAGATGTATGGTGTAAATGAATTCATATTTACCATTTTGAGATGAAAATGAAATTTCACTCAAGACTCATAGCCACAGGCGATAGCGGTGACAAGGAGACGACTGGCAAGGTAATGATAGAAGAACACGCACGAGCATAAATATTCATTCACGAAGACCTTGCTCATATTAACGCAGTTGCTGTCGCCACGACATCCACTCAAACACACTCTTACGAAACTTTCAGAAATTACTCTCACAAATCTTTCATTTTGCAAAACTGATAAATAGTCCTTCTCACTCCTTTTGGAGCAATTGCTATCGGAGATATTATTCATGAAATATACAATAATGTTGAGAGCTTAACCCACACCTTGTTAATTTTTTCTTTTTTCTCGTGCGATTGTTACGTATAATTTGCTCAG